TTTGGACTCCCCCACCCCAAGGTAAACACCTGGCCTATTTACCCTATCCATACCACTCATGATTTTATAAATATTTATAAGGTCACCCCTCAGCCTCTGACGCTCCAGGGAAAATAGCCCCAGCCTATTAAGCATTTCCCTGTCGCTCATACCTCCCAACCCTGGCAACATCCTTGCAAACCCTTTCTGAGCTCTTTCAAGTTTCACAACATCCTTCCCATAGCATGAAGACCAGAATTGCATGCAGTATTCCAAAAGCAGCCTAACCAATTTGCTGTACAGCCATGATGTGGAGGTGCTGGTGTTGGACTGGGTTGGACAAGGTCAGAAATCACACAACACCGGGGTAAAGTCCATCAGATTTATTTGAAAACACAAGCCTTACTCCTTCTTCAGGTGTTATTAAGAGAGGTAGTGTCAGACACAGAATTTATAAGTAAAAGATCAAAGGGTCATACCACTGATGAAGATGTACTAAACAAACCTAAGATGCTGTTAAATCTTTAATCAGTTGGAAGGTTTTAATTGATTAATATGTAAATGTAAATCCCCAAATTCCTTTCAAGTCACTGTCCTGTGAGAACTAAAAGTTTTATTACTATAAAGAGGTGACATTTTAGGTCAGACAATTCATGTTAGGTGTGAGGCCTTGTTTAGAATCTGTTTGTGTTTTGGTTTGGAGTCAGAATGGTTTTATTTCTAAAGTAGGAATTTATAAAATGCCACATTGACAGACTGTCTTTAAATTGTGTGTTTATTGAACAAAATAGAATGTATCTGCAAATACAAATTCACCCTATAGATTCACATGTATGTGTGTGTGAGAGAGAAAGAGAATGGAGGGAGAGTGAGTGTCTGTGTGTGAGGGGGGAAGAGAGTGTGTGTGTGAGGGAGAGAGAGTGTGAGTGTGAATGTGTGTGTGCATAAGAGACAGTGTGTATGAAAGAGGATCTATGTGACAGTATGTGTGTGCGTGTATGTGGGGGGAGAGAGACAAAGAAAGAGTGTGCGCGTGTGTGGGAGAGAGACTGTATGTGAGAGAGAGAGAGTGTGTGCGTGTGTGTGTGGGAGAGAGTGTGTACATGCTTGAGAGACAGGGCATGTATGAGAGAGATCTGTGTGAGTGTGTGCGTGTGTGTGTGTGAGAGAGTGTACAATGTGGTGGGGTCACCTGTAGTGCGACATGAACCCAAGATCTCGGTTCAAGCCATCATCATGGGTACCGAACTTGGCTATCAGCCTCTGCTCGGCGATTCTGCATTATTGTGTATCCTGAAGTCCGCCTTGGAGGATATTTAACCGAAGAGCCGAGGCCGAATGCTCTTGACCACTGAAGTGTTCCCCCATTGAGAGGGAACATTCCTGACTGGCAATTGTTGCATAGTGCCCATTCATCCATTGTCATAACACCTGCATGGTCTCACCAATATACCATGCCTCAGGGCATCCTTGCCTGCAGCATATGAGATAGACAACATTTGCTGAGTCACATGAGTATCTGCTGTGTATGTGGTGGGTGGTGTTCCCACGTGTGTTGGTAGTGGCCATATCGAAGATCTGACATGTCAGAAATTGCCATGACAGGGTTGTATAGTGTTACTGTCGATATTATCCTTAAGGCTGGGTAATTTGCAGCAAAATCTCCCCCCACCCCCCAACACACACATATGTGAACCTGTGAAGTGAATTTGTGTTCGCAAGGTAGGTGGGATGGTGATAGGTGAGTGCAGGTATGGAGTGGTGGGGATTGGTCAGTGAAGTGGGAGGGGTGGACAGGTGAGGGAGAAAATGGACAGGTTGTGTCAAGTCAAGGAGGTGGGGATGAGAAGGAGGGTTGGTTATGGGATGAGGCCGGAGGCAGTGAGATTTGAAACTGGTAAAATCCACATTTAGCCCATTGGGCTGTAGGCTCCCGCGGTGGAATATGAGGTGCTGCTCCTCCAGTTTCCGGGTGGTGTGATTGTGACACTGGAGGAGGCCCAGGGTGGACATGTCGCCCAGGGAGTGAACAAAGAAAGAAAGAACAAAGAAAATTACAGCACAGGAACAGGTCCTTCGGCCCTCCAAGCCTGCGCCGATCCAGATCCTCTATCTAAACCCTGTTGCCTATTTTCCAAGGACCTGTATCCCTCTGCTCCCTGCCCATTCACGTATCTGTCCAGATACATCTTAAATGATGCTATCATGCCTGCCTCTACCACCTCTGCTGGCAACGCGTTCCAGGCACCCACCACCCTCTGTGTAAAGAACTTTCCACACATATCTCCCTTAAACTTTTCCCCTCTCATCATGACCCCTAACAATCGAGTCCCCAACTCTGGGAAAAAGCTTCTTGCTGTCCACCCTGTCTATACCTCTCATGATTTTGTAGACCTCAATCAGGTCCCCCCCACCCCCAACCTCCATCTTTCTAACGTAAATAATCCTAATCTACTCAATCTCTCTTCATAGCTAGCGCCCTCCATACCAGGCAACATCCTGGTGAACCTCCTCTGCAGCCTCTCCAAAGCACCCACATCCTTTTGGTAATGTGGCAACCAGAACTGTACGTAGTATTCCAAACGTGGTCGAACCAAAGTCCTATATAACTGTAACATGACCTGCCCACTCTTGCACTCAATACCCCGTCCGATGAATGAAAGCATGCCGTATGCCTTCTTGACCACTCTATCAGCCTGATGGAGGAGGACGTTCCATAAATATTCATAGAATTCCTACAGTGTAGAGACAGGTCCTGAGTGGGAGGAGGAGTTGAAATATTTTGCAACCGGAAGGTGTTACACCCAGGGAGTGGCTTGTCCCATGGCCAACCCTCCCTCTCACTCATCCCATGATCAATCTTCCCTCCCACCCCCACCTCCTTAATCGGACACAACCTGTCCATCTTCTCTTCCAACTATCCACCCCTCCACCTCACTGACCAATCCCCACCACTCCCTACCTGCACTCAACTATCACCTTCTTACCTACCTTCTCCAGTCCCACCCATACTCTATTTATTTCTGAGCTCCCTGCCCCCTCCCCATTTCTGAAGAAGGGTCCCAACCGAAATGTCAACATTCCTGCTCCTCTGATGCTGCCTGACCTGTTGTGTTCCTCCAGCTCCACAGTGTTATCTCTGACTCCAGCATCTACAGTTCTTACTATCTCTGAAATTCACTCGTCATCCAATATTTCCTACCAGCCTTGCCCTTCACCCTAAAAGTACATACGGTCTCTGGACCCTCATTATCTCATTTTTGAAAGCTTCACATTTTCCAGCCTTCCCTTTACCTGCAAATATCTGCCCCCAATCAATGTTTGAAAGTTCTTGCCTAATACAGTCAAAACTGGCCTTCCTCAAATTTAGAACTTTAATTTTTAGATCCGGTCTATCCTTTTATATCACTATTTTGAAACTAATAGGATTATGGTCACTGGCCCCAAAGTGCTCCCCCACTGACACCTCTGTCACTTGCACCCCCTGCCTTATTTCCCAAGAGTAGGTCAAATCTTGCTCCTTCTCTAGTAGGTACATCCACCTACTGAATCAGAAAATTTTTTTGTACATACTTAACAAAATCCTCTCCATCCAAACCCTTAACATTATGACAGTCCTAGGAATTTAACCCAGCAACACTGCAGGAACAGTAACATATTTCCAAGTCACAATTGTGTGTAGCTTGGAGGCGATCTCACAAGTAGTGTTGTTCTTATATTATCAACTTTGATCATGGAACGAAGAATAATATGTGCAGTCTTCTCTACCACTACATTCCAATTTGGAGATTGGAACTATCCTTCATCAGTTTTATGTCAAAGCATATCTATATTGAGGTTCTCTTAATAAGCTTTTTCCCTTGCCACACCATCTTCGTATATCTTCCTTTGCTCCCTTAACAATGATCTGAACTGTAGGCGCCAGTCCAATCAATACTTGGAAAGATTACTTCTCCCGAATTATTTTAAATAAAAACACTCAAATTTGAATACATATGTGATCTATAAATCATTCTGTTGGAAAAAGCCTCATACGACTAAGATTGCTTATGTGAAGCTTCTGATTTCTGGTATCTTCTTAGCAAACCTCTCCTGTACCTTTCAAACTAAGTCTTGCAAAACTGCTTAACTGAAGGGATTCTGTGGCTCAGGAATTATCTGGGATGACAGGAAAGGCCTTCCCACGCCCCTTACAAAGTTACTTAAAATGCAAGAAAATTTTTGAACCAGCTTTCCGACCCTATCCTAACTGATAAATGCCCCTTATTTCTGTAAATTTCTTTGCAATAAAAGATACGGAATAAATATGAGTAACTTTCTTAACTCCTCCTCACTTGATCCCCTGCACATCACCTTGCTGGAGGGACCATGACGCTTATTTTCTCCATCTGATATTCTCCTACGTAGTTTCTCTATTTGACAATAACTAGCATGACTATCCAATGTGAAACACAGAAGTTACAGACCAGAAAGAAAAGGGGCAATCAAATTTAAGAATCGAACTGATATCAGCAGATAAAAACATAATGGAGAAATTTATGCATCAGAAAGAAAGCTGAGAAATATTCAAGACCTGATGGTTTCCATTATAAGATCATAAAAGAGGTTCTAAACGTGGTTGCAACAGAGGCAGTGGATTCACTATTAACTATTTTCAAACATTCCTTAGACTCTGATAAACAAACATACAACTATACATTCGGAGTGGAAGTAGACCACTTGGGCTCCTTTAGTGTTCTCTTTCTATTCAGTATTGAGTAAAGGATCATGGGGAGGGACGCAGGAGAGGGTGGGGAGGGGGGGGAGCGGTTAGGGTGTGAGTATTCGTGGATACATGGTGATCACCAGCAGGTTTCCTTGCCCATGTTTGATACAACCCTATTGTAGAGTGCAGTTAAGAGTCAACCACCTTATTGTGGCCAAGGAGTTATATGTACATTTCACCAAGTAAGGATGGCAGATCTCCTTTCATAATGGATACCAGTGAACAATTATTTACAATATCAGTGATTAAAAAAGGCTAGTTTTCAAATTCCAGATTTTATTGAATTCAAATTTCACCACTTGGCTCCTTGTGCCTGCTCTACCATTTGGTAGGATCATAGCTGAATTGACTACTTCTCTTCTTTTGTGTTCATGCTGTAAAGCTTTTAAGTCCCATTTCAATTAAGAATCTATGTAACTCAGTCTTGAGTTCAGAGTTAACGGCACAGAACAATTCCCTCTCAACTAAATAATATTGTGACACCACCTCTACTGTATTCGCCCCAACGATGAGCAGAACATACCCAGGGGCTGTGACAGTGCTGTCTGAAACAGTGCAAGAGACGATTCTAAGAGAATGACTACATCAGCCCTTTGCCTGACTAGGCTTTGAGACAGTTCTCCCAAATATCAGCACCAGTGCCCAGCTGTTAGTAAGGAAGACATTGCAGTTGATCAAGGGTGAGTATGGAAGTGCTTAATTTGATGCCAAGTGGCCCATTGGGTTCGATTCCTTTGATACGGATCTTCCTGCAGAAGACAGTCAAGTGTCAACTGTACTACTATGGGTTTGGAGTCACATTTTGCATGTCAGTGAAGGAACTGTAAATGACTGCACTGAATTTTTCTTTTTGCTGTTGATTGTGAGACCTTTCAGAATTGCCTTTGTGCACACAGACATATAGGCTTATTTATAAAAAGCTTATTACACAAAATAAAATTATGCTCATTTGTTAAAAGCACATTGTCAACGACTGACCAACACATTGACTAAATCGGAAATAAATACAATTTATCAAGCCAGGCTCATTCCAGAATGTGACATCCAGTCTTACCAGCAGATGGGATTATAACACTAGGCAATTAGCGTACAGTCAGAGCACTGGCACTTTAGAGGGTTTTACAAAGCACATCTATAAGGGTATATTACACTAGCATTATCTGACAACATGGAAATTGCCCAGGTGCGCCTTGTGCACAAAAAGCAGGACAAATCAAACCTGGCCAAATAGTGTCCCATCAATCTTCCTAAGCATCAGTAATGGAAGGGGTCATTAACAGTACGATCAAGTGGCACTTGCCAAGGAATAACACGCTATGTTTAGGTGCTACTGCCTGAGCCACTTAGCTCTCAATCTTCAATAGGGCCACGAATAAAGTAGCTGATCTCTGGAATGGAGTGACAGCCCTTGACACAAAATCTCGAAGCAATGAATTGTCAAGATGATGTAAATAGGCTTCAACGGAATTTGGACAAACCTTAGCAGATTGATAAGAACAAAGTTGGTGGAATATAATATGGATAAGAGGTCACCCACTTTAGTCAGATAACGTAAGTCGATCTAATATCACTGGACTACTTTCAACTATCATGAGTTTTATACTATTTGTGTCTATTCAGCTAAAGCATTATGGCTTCACTATTGTAGAAGCAAATTACTGCAGATGCTGGAATTGGCACTGAAAATAAAAATGCTGGAAATCACAGTGGTTCAGGCAGCAATCATGGACAGAGAACAAGCTAACATTGAGTCTAGATGACTCTTCATCAGAGCTGATGTGACGTGTGGAGGGGGAGGCATTTATGTCTGACTGTTGTTTTTTAGTAAACTTAAATTATCCTAAAAATACTTAGAAAGATTTGGCTCATTAGGTATTGGTTCTTCATTTGGCTCTTGAAGTCAGAATCTTACAATACCAATGACATCAAGAGAAATGGGAGTAGCGTGGAAAAGCAACATTTTCGATAAAAACCGAAAGAACTGCAGATGCTGTAAATCAGGAACAAAAATAGGAATTGCTGGAAAAGCTCGGCAGGTCTGGCAGCATATGTGAGGAAAAAAATTACAGTTAACATTTTGGGTTCTGAGGAAGGGTTTTTCTTCACAGATGCTGCCAGACCTGCTGAGCTTTTCCGTGATCCTGGGGATACTGGAACCTAAATGACAATGGCACAGATGAGGGATTCAGCAGCAAATGGATCAAAATAATGTTTGAAACAGACAATATTACTCATTTGAAAATTACCAGTGTTTGTGATGGAGGGATTAGGGCGCTGAAAGCTCAGCTTGAAACTGAATAGGACACTGGTGTTTTCAACTTTCTGATTCAATCTGAGCTAATGACTGGGAACAGGGACTGAACCAATGCAAAGGCTATGGTTTAGATTACAGCTTCTGTCTCCTTAACATCCTGTTACTTATTCATGGAATAACAGTGTCATTATTAAGATAGAGGCAACTACAACACACCCAAGACCCAAGCAATCCGACAACTCAGAGAGGAGCGAAGAGGTAATACAAGTGGTATAACAAGAGCAAAGCGGTATCTACAACACAATGAAGATGCTGACGATGCTTCCAGGCACTGAATATCTAAAATACCGGGGAGGTGTGTGCAGGTATACCTTTTTATCTTGTTTTCACCTGACAGCTTGATGCATATACTTTCCATTAATTTAATGAATAACACTCAAGAACACAATGGCTTTTCCCCACCCATGGTTTTCTAAAGTGCAATCCAAGGGCCTTAACTTTAAACAACTTTTGGCTAACAACTGCACTTTGTAAATCCAAAATGAACCAGTTAAACAAAAATTAAATATATAATGAAATACAGTATCTTGATAGAAAAATTGTAAATGCTATCTTCATGGATACTTCAAAATTCTTGTTAATCTCTGATGATATTTTCATTTCAAGGTTACAGTACACCCACACGTTTGGAGATTACAAATATAAAAATTATTTTTAAACACGAAGTCAGCTGTAATTTAAGGAATTCTTTGAATAGAACATATTACTGGCATTCTGTAGCTACAAACAGATATAAATATAATTTGCTATAAACTACAATCTGAACCATAAAGGCATTAAAATTGGTGTCATAAAAGCTAAATATGCAAGATACTGATATGGTAGAAATACGCCACCTAGTGGTCTTTTTGACAAATATAAAGCTTGAAATTTTTTTTTCTGAATGCAGCAGCATGAAGTACCTCCTGTTATTAATACAGGTCTTCCAAGCACAAATAGTAAGACAGATATTGTGAACAGACTTTCAATCTGTGCTGTAGTCAAAAATTCCACATTGTGGTCAATGGTTAAAACTTCAGCACGATATCTTTAGACTGTAAAGCCTTTTCAGCTATGTCCACACGTGCTTTAAGTAAATTAGCTTGTTCTAAACTCCCCAAGCTGGAGGCATTCTTCAGTAAGAAGTGTGAAAGAAAGAGTTTCAGGCCTTCCCGCAACATTCCCAGCTTTGAAATTCCAGAGATTCTGTGTTGAAAGAACATGAAGATCTTTAGAAAAATCATATCAACAGTTAAAGATTAAAAAAATGCTGTAAGGAATATATGGTCAAAGCTGTTTCTCTTGGACTCATTAGATTAAAAATTGCAAGAATACCAAATTTCAAAGTCAGCAACAATTTATTCTACAAGGGAAAATGCTGCAGATTGGTCAGCAAGTGGACTCTTGATTGGTTGTAGTATTGCTGGGAGAATACACCAGGTTCCAGTAAGCTTTCACTTAAATTCAACCAGGCAAATCGACTGCAATTGGTCCAGGTGTTGACATGGAGCATGTCCAAGGAAAACATTTCTAACCCATCCTAAAGCTTTTGTTCGGCTGAGAAAGGGCTAATATTTTAGTGTTCTTTTTAGTTACAGAGGCCAGAGCTCTGTGTATGCATGTACGTAGCTTCCAACACAAGTGAGCCTTATTACAAACCCAACCAATAATTTTCAATTGTTTGTAAGTGTAATTCTTAGTACAGTTGGATTACCAACAAATCTGCACCCTTTTCTCACGTAATACAAGTTGTTGCTTATTTGAAATGTGATATTCTTGCAAGTATGTCCTGAAGTGTTCAAGACAAAACACTTGGACTATTTCGTGCTGGAAAATGGGAAATGGAAAAATTGATGGTTGTTTTTGACAGGTGAAGTCTTAACGAGGGAGGGGCCTTTTCCTGCGTTGTAGATATCTATGACTGTCTTTTCATACTCAAAGTGCTGTACTACCAACTGACTACCAAAAAAAGTGATAATAACAAAGAATTGTCCATCGGGTATTGCAGTTCTACTGCATGGTTATCTCAGATTTTGGGCAGAAGTCTGAATTTAGAATGAATATAGGGGTGAGTTATTCTCTAAGTTTCTTAACTACTGAAGACTTTTATTCCAAATACGTGTTCTTGCACTGTGCAATCATCCTTAACTCAAATCAAAAACAGCTAATTGTCATTAGATCTCAAATTGTAGTTCTAAGTTGAAGATTTGATAGCTTGCAACATTGAATTATACAGATTGATTAGACAATTGTCTGGGGATAAATTTGTCTAAACCTAGGGACATATTTTGATAACTCTTTACCACTAATCATGTGGATTACATGTACCGCAGATAGCAATCGTATCAAAGTGTTGGATGGCTCATATTAGCTCAGTAAGTACAGGATCAATCCTGGTACCATAAGATATAATATACCAAACTTTAGCAGGCCACTCACCCAGACGATTCAAATTCCTGTACAACATTAAATTTACTGATTGCCATAATAGATATAAATATGTATTTTTTATATTACAAAATATTACCTTTGAAATATTGCTACTAATTCTTCAGGTTCTGTATCCACGAGTAATTTATGGAGAACTTGACGTAAAAGTTTGACTTTAGGCTTATCCAGTTCGCTGAACTCAATTGCCTGCATATTGAAATGGGTATATGTACAGAACCGATTACTTTCATGAGATAAAAATTGGGAGAAGCAAGTCATTCAGTTAGTTCTGCCATTCAGGGAAATTATGGCTAATATCTTCAAATCCTGTGATTAGCCTTGCCGTCAAAAAAAAACTATCATCTCGATCGTAACAAAACTCTAACCCAGCACCCAGCTTTTTCCAGAATGAATGTTCCATATTTCTATAATTGTGTACGAAGAAGTGCTTCCTGAAAATAACCTCGAAACAGTCTTGCTTTAATTTATTCAGCAATGCCCTAGTGTTCTGGCCATCTCAACCAAATATAAAATCATAAAATGCCACAATTAGATCAGTCCTTTATTTTACTTCAAGCTTAGTCTATGCAATAATTTAACTCTGAGAATAACAAGGTATAGAACTGGATGAACACAGCAGGCCAAGCAGCATCAGAGGAGCAGGAAGGCTGACGTTTCGGGCCTAGACCCTTCTTCAGAAATGGGGGAGGGGAAGGGGGCTCTGAAATAAATAGGGAGAGAGTGGGAGGCGGATAGAAGATGGATAGAGGAGAAGATAGGTGGAGAGGAGACAGACAGGTCAAAGAGTCGGGGATGGAGCCAGTAAAGGGGAGTGTAGGTGGGGAGTTAGGGAGGAGATAGGTCAGTCCAGGGAGGACAGGTCAAGGGGGCGGGATGAGGTTAGTCGGTAGGAGATGGGGGTGGGGCTTGAGGTGGGAGGAAGGACAGGTTAGGGAGGCGGGGACGAGCTGGGCTGGTTTTGGGATGCAGTAGGGGGAGGGGAGATTTTGAAGCTTGTGAAGTCCACATTGATACCATTGGGCTGCAGGGTTCCCAAGTGGAATAGCAGTTGCTGTTCCTGCAACCTTCGGGTGGCGTCGTTGTGGCACTGCAGGAGGCCCAGGATGGACATGTCGTCTGAGGAATGGGAGGAGGAGTTGAAATGGTTCGCGACTGGGAGATGCAGTTGTTTGGTGCCAACTGAGCGGAGGTGTTCTGCAAAGCGGTCCCCAAGCCTCCACTTGGTTTCCCTGATGTAGAGGAGGCCAAAACGGGAACAGTGGATGCAGTATACCACATTAGCAGATGTGCAGGTGAACATCTGCTTGATGTGGAAAGTCTTCTTGGGGCCTGGGATGGGGGTGAGGGGGGAGGTGTAGCACTTCCTGCGGTTGCAGGGAAAAGTGCCGGGTGTGGTGGGGCTGGAGGGGAGTGTGGAGCGGACGGAGGGGAGTGTGGAGCGGACAAGAGAGTCACGGAGAGAGTGGTCCCTCTGGGAAGCAGATAAGGGTTGGGAGGGAAAAATGTCTTTGGTGGTGGGGTCGGAGGTGATTTTCAAAGTTTGCCTTACATAAATTTTTTTTGCAACTCTCCCTCCCATGTGTCCCTCAAATTAACTAAGATTATCACTACTTGCCAGATCTTTCCCAACAACAATAAATTCTATTTACTTATCAACTTGAATTTTCTATCAAAACTGGGTCGTACAAGACATTGAGAATATTGCAGACACATGGCAAAGTGCAAAAATTGAAATTATTTCTGTTGTATACAATCTGATCACAGCAATGCATTTTTTAAAAAAATCTTTATTTTATGTGCATTCGTGTAAAAAATGTCCCATTATAATTTTGCGATGAACTGACTTCATTGAGAAAACGGTTAACAAAGAATATCGAATCTTGGGCTTACTAAGTTGAGGCATTGATCACTATAGCAGAGAAGCTACTCTGCACCTTCAATCAAGTTTAGTTTGGCCACAACTAGAAAACCTTGTCCATATTTGGTAACCACATGATATGAGGGTCCTGGAGAGGTTGCTCGGGGAATTTAACAATGTTTTCAGGGTTGGGGATTTTAGCTACAAGGTTAGATGTGAGAAACAAAGATTTTTCTTTTTGTAGCAGAAACGATTTAAGGATTTGATAGAGATGTACAAAATAAGTCAGATTTGCCTCAGGTAGACAAGGAACAGCTGTTCCCAATAGCAGGTCAGATATGCAGGGGAAAAGGAAGAACTTTTATTTAAAATGCAGCAACGGTAATAAACGGAACTTAGGAACTTGGTGGAAGCAGAGATGATCAATGATTTTAAAAGGAAATTGGGCAGACATTTGAAGGAGGTAAACTTTAAAGGTTATGGTGGTATAGAATGGGGGAATGGGGCAATTTAAGATTGCCCTGTAGAGAATTACTGGTGACTTGGTGGGCTGAATGGCCACATTTCATGCTGTAAACGACTCTCTGGGTTAAACATAATGCATTACCATCAGCTGTTCTCAAAGCAAAGTGAATACTTTTGGTGATGCTAATACCAGGAAACTGTTGCATTGGATTTCACTCAGCAATTCATACCAATTTGTATAAATAACAGGAAGTCAAATAATTATTTTGTTAAAGTTTATCAACAGCCAGTCAGATTTATGTTGTTGACAAAGGAAGTAATAAGGCTTTGAATGTGAACTGGAGTTGGAGCCAAGATGGGGCAGCTGAGCTGTTGGCAGCAATGGGGAAGTGCATATTTTTAAAACAAAGGACACAGGGACAATGCAGGAAAGTTGTATAGGGAAGATCCATCACAAATCTCGTATGGCAGAGTGATCACACAGGGCTTTACGTTTGCTTCGATTTATTATACAAAGAGATAAAAGAAAATATCCACGGATTACTGTGAAAACCTATGTTGCGGAAGCAGTATCAGCAGTACTCTTTGGAGCATTACAAATAACGGTTTTTGTCAGACTATTTTTAGGTGGGTTGCAGCAAACCAATTATGTTACATTGCCAAGGTCCTGTAACCCAGCTATAACAGTTCTGTGAAACACCTTGGCAGATTTTGTGATGGTAAAAGTGCTACATAAATGAAATTGTATTTATCCTCTATGCACAATGTGTAGATAATTCCCTAAATGGTTAAGTTTGAACTTAGATGGCTGATCTCTTGTGCATCTCTTACTTCCTTTATCCATCCCACAATTGTGCTCATACAAGCCTCTGGTGGTGTGTGCATGAGAAAGCTCTTTCTGAAACTACGTTTCTCGTTCCATCTTTAAGTTCTTTCTATTCGTTCATAGAATAAGGTTTTCACTGGATAGGGCAGCATTTATTGCCCATCCCAAATTGCCCACACGCAGTTAAGAGCCACACATATTGTTGTCACAATTAGACTGGAGCAGATTAAGGATGGCAGATTTTCTTTCAAATGAACCAAATAGGTTTTTACGATGGACAGTAGCTACGGGGTTGCCATTAGGTTAGTCTTTTTAATTCCAGATATTTTACTGAATTCAAAGTTCACGATCTGCCATAGTGGGATTTGAACCCATATCTCCAGATCATTAGCGTGGGGTTCAGAATTTACTTCCCTTTGTTGAAACTCAATTTCTTGGCCATATTTTAATTTCTTGTTATTCCTTTCTTTGGTTTAGCCATAGAGTCAGAGATGTACAGCACAGAAACAGACCCTTTGGTCCAACTTGTCCATGCTGACCAGATGTCCTAAATTAATCTGATCCCATTTGCCAGCATTTGGCCCATATCCCTCTAAACCCGTCCTATTCATATATCCATCCAGCCTCCACCACTTCCTCTGGCAGTTCATTCCATACACATACTGTGTGGAAAAAGTTGCCCCTTAGGTCCCTTTTAAATCTTTCCCCTCTCACCTTAAACCTGTGCCTTCTGGTTTTGGACTTCCCTACTTTGGAGGAAAGACTTTGGCAATTCACCCTATCCATGCCCCTCATGATTTTATAAACTGCTACAAGGTCACCCATCAGCCTCCAACGCTCCAGGGAAAATTGCCCCAGCCTATTCAGCCTTTCGCTATAGCTCAAACTCTCCAACCCTGGTAACATTCTTGTAAATCTTTTCTGAACCCTTTTGAGTTTCACAACATCTTTCCCATAGCAGGGAGACCAGAATGAAATGCAGCATTCCAAAATTTGCCTAACCAATGTCCTGTACAACCACAACATGACCTCCCAACTCCTACACTCAATGCACTGACCAATAAAAGCAAACATACCAAACGTCTTCTTCACTACCCTGACCACCCGTGAGTCCACTTTGAAGGTACTGTGAACCTGCAGTCCAAGGTGTCCATGTTCTGCACACTCCCGAGGTCCTTACCATTACGTGTACAAGTCCTGTCCGACAAAAATGTAGCACATCACCTTTATCTAGATTAAACTCTATCCGCCATTCCTTGGCCCACTGTACTCTGAGATAATCTTCTTCATTGTCCACCACCAATTTTGGTGTCACCTGCAAACTTACTAACCATACCTATGTTCACATCCAAATCATTTATATAAATGACAAAAGACACTGGTCATTGTGGCACACTACTGCTCACAGGCCTCCAGTCTGAAAAGCAACCGTCCTCCACCACCCTCTGTCTCCTATCTTTGAGCCAATTTTGTATCCACATGGCTAGTTCTCCCTGTATTCCATGTGACCCAACCTTGTTAACCAGTCAATCATGCGGAACCTTGTCAAAAGCCTTACAGATGTCCATATAGACAATGTCCACTGCGATGCCTTCATCAATCCTGAGTCATTTCTTCAGAAAAATTGAATCTTAAGTTGGTGAGACACGATTTTTCACACACAAAGACAAATTGACCATCCCTAATCAGACCTTGCTTTTCCAAATACATGTAAATCCTGTCCCTCAGAATCCTCTCCAACAACTCGTCCAACACTGATGTCAGGCTCACTGGTCTATAGTTCCCTGGCTCTTCCTTACCACCTTTCTTAAATAGTGGCACAATATTAGCCAACCTCCAGTCTTCTTGCACCTTGCCTGCAGCTATCGATGATACAAATATCTCAGCATGGGGCCCAGCAATCACTTCCCTAGCTTCTCACAGAGTTCTAGGGTACATCTGATCAGGTCTTGGGCATTTATCCACCTTTATGCGTTTTAACATGCCCAGCACCGTCTCCTCTGTAAACATGGCAGTGTCCAATTTTGGCTATGCTTCCGTGTAGCATCTCTGGAACATTCATCCACGTTGAAGGTATACCATTAATAAAAGAGATGGTGAAAAGGTCATCATTCAGAAACATTAACTTGATTTAACTCCACAGATGCTGTTTGACCTGAGCACTTCCAGCATTTTCTGGTCTTATTTTAGAGATTGTAAATAAATTACCATCTTGACCACTTAGGATTTGAATCCAGGTGCTGTGTGTGTAAAATGGGCCTAACAGTCTTGTTATTCAGTGGAGAAAAAATAGAAAGTTCTGAAAACCATCTATAATTTTACTTCAAATTAACTTGCATTCAGAATTCCCGAGATTGTAGTTTTAATACTGCATTCTATTATTCCTGAAATATAGTAATTGATTGAAAACAAACAAATCTGCAGTAAAGGATAAGTGTAATTCAACAATGATTAAATATTGTGTACAGTGCTTCACTTTCAGGCAAACGATGAGCAGTTCCTCAATAAAAGTATGAGCATGACTTTCTGTCCTCAACAAATTTCTCTCAGCTGAATGGTTCCACAGGGGCTGGAACTTACTCAAGTGAATTTTGTGTGTGTCTGGATCTTGTTCGGAAGGCTGAGTTTGCAAGGTCACAATGGTAGGGTTGAGAGATGCTTGGAGTCATCAAAACCAAGTCAATTTAAGTTTCCACTTGTCATGGATTCCTAGCTTCAAGTTACTGGAGTGGAATTCTAGGCTATTTTTCTTCTGCTTTCCCAAGAAGGCAAACAAAATGTTCTTATTTTTATTTAGTTGAGATCATCTCACAAAATAGGAGTCAAGGATCAAATTTAGTAGCTGTTCTGACATGCAAGACTCCATACTGGATAAAATCATGAAACCATAATTGACCCTCCATGACTGTGATTTCCATGGCTAGCAGAGAGAGAGAGAGAGAGAGAGAGAGAGAGAGCGGGAGGGAGGCTGGTGTTGGCCTTTTGTTGTCACAATCATATTTATTTTCCTACTGTGAAAAGCTTTCTAAGTGGGTGGCTCCGAAGCATAAATGAGACATTAGTCACTCAAATGCTAATGCCATCAGCTCGAGGTTTGTGACATCCTGCTACATCTCTAGCGATTTTATGATTTACTGGCAAAATCAAAACTTCCTGATTATCCTCTTGCACACGTTAGATAATTCCTTGTTTTGCCTTTCTCTCCTGTAGTCTTGATAAGAAAATTCCATTTACACATTACACTTTGTTAAGTCACCATCAATTGCTCTCTCACTTATGTGTAAATGTAGTTGATACATATTTTCCTTCCTGGAAAAGTAAGATTTGCATTAAAAATGTTCTTTCTCAGCAGCCCTCCAGGTAACAAAGCTATATGAACATAGTTTTATGTGAGAAACTCTTCATACAATCACTGACGAAGGCGCACTATTGGGAAATAAAGTAACATTTTTCCTGCTACCAATATTATACACAAATTAAGAATTCAATAACTTGGTGGGTCAATAACTTCACATGCAGACACAAAATTTAACATGGAAAAATCCAAATTGAATGAGCCAGATGATTTTATCTCAGTTCATCAGAAATTGCTAAGTGAAAGACCCTGCTGGTTCCTTTGGGATCTGTCAGCTTGTTAACTTGGACTGTTTGCCCAATACTCTCAAAGATTTTTTTTATCCTTGAGAGCTGTTTCTAGCAGGCGAAACAGAACTTTGAGAGTGGTTACTTTCAGTCCTGCTCACTAGCAGACTTCTACCTCCCACTCTGGCACTGTTCATCCCCTTCTGTACCTCTGGGGCTGATGAATTTGCTTATCCTGCATCCCAAATATGTTTCAAAACACAAAGTCACTGAACTGAAGGTAGGAGTGTGGCATTGCCATTCGATCCACGCTGTAACTTGGAAAGAGGGCTCCAAAGGGTCTAACCAAAAAGGGCAAGGGAGCCATTTCAATCATAGTTGTGTGCAGTTCTATTCTGTCATTGAAAGGCCTGGGCCAAAATCTTGTGCAGATTGTGCTTGGAAGAATAATGATTTTATATTCAGAAGGTACTCACTTTAAAGATGGACAGAGACACCACTTTCCTGCTGAGAAGATGAACAAGCAGATGAACCAAATTTGTGGTTGCTACATTGGCCATGTTCTTCAAATCTCGGAAGCGGTCCCACATGCTAAATTGGAATGTCATCTATTAGGGTTGAAGAGTCAAACAGAAATTTGAAAAAAAGCCTAGAAATGTTTTATAAATTGAAGCACCTTTATGGGTCAGTAAGATAGATGATATAACTTTTACTTTATACTTCTATAATGTTTATCCAGTTGAACAGAAGGACCCCTGCCATTGGATGAACAAGGTATAGATTGCACTCTATCATTCTTTTGTATTGCTCATTGTTTTCTGCCCCTAATTTTTCCACCCCTCCCCCATTCCCAACATATTACAGTAATTTCCAAGTGGTGAAAATGGCAGATAAGAATTTTTAGAGCAAATCACTGAAAGGTTGAAACTCTCCATATAAATTCAGCTGAAGGCCTGCATGCAGACTCTATTAACATTTGTAAACAGAGGTAAAATGAAATTAAATTTGCAATAAATAAAACATGTATTTTAAAAAGGAAAGAGTTTTGCTGCTCTCGCTCAAACTGCTGACATGTAAGCATTTACCTCTCAAGGCCAGCTTTAAGCACAGACAATGTACACAGGAATTAAACAAATATTGCATGCAATCATGTTTGTCTTCAGCGGAAGAAATTTGTCAGGTAAGTGCATTCTAATTCACTCGTAAACCTAAACAGCTGAATGAATGTAAGTGACCTGCATTATCATTAAGTAACATCAGTTACCACTTCTGGGTGACAGTCAGTATTTCCAGAGATGCACCATGGAGTGTCAGTCATCTCAAGGTGCTTGACAATTTGATCTACCATTTACTTTGGAAGAACTTCTTCATGAAATTGTTCTATTTATTAGCAAATTTATTAATAGCATTTTCACAGAAAGTTTGATCTTTTAATTAGCAGTGTACACATCGTTTTTAGTATGACAATTGTTACCAGCTATGAATCATTCTCACTTGCTCGGAAAGTAAATGTCCCTAAGTCTCAATTCTTCAGGTTATAAATGGTTTTTGATTTGTAAGTGAGCTTCTTTTTCCCACCCCAACTACTTTTTCTTCACGAGTTCATCACCCTTTCTTATCATTCCGTTTGTTTTTGTACTCGATTTCTCACAAAAATCTCAGTCACCTTCACTCTATATTTCTTCCTCTGTTTAGTTCAAAAATCAAATGACACCAGGTTATAGTCCAACAGGTTTATTTGAAAACACAAACTTTCAAAGTCTCGAGACTCTGAAAGCTTGTGTTTTCAAATAAACCTGTTGGAGTTTTGCAGAAGAGCAATACCCGAAACGTTGATTGCTCCTTTCCTTCAAATGCTGCCTGACTTGCTGTGTTCTTCCAGCCTGCTGCTTGTCTACCTGGATTCCAGCATTTGCAGTTTTTTTTGTCTCAGACTATAACTTGGGAGTCGTATGATTTTTGACCTTGTCCACCCAAGCCCAACACTGGCACCTCCACATCTGTTTAGTTCATCTGGGATTTGGGGGTGGGTAAATGCGCAACTGCTCACGGCTTGCATATACCCGTGCACTGTGGGAGATAGGGGACAAGGTGGAAGGGATGTGGGCCTCCCAGGCCACCTCCCTCCCATCTGCTAACTCTCCCCATGGCCTCAAATACTATCAATATTTCGCTTCTTTTACGTGCATGTCTAGTGCCTTAGAATTCCTATGGCTAAATATGCAAATTAATGATATCACAAACTTGGAACTGTGAGCTTGCACATTTCCAGAATAGCACACAGGCTCAGTTGTGGGTGTCACTAGACACTGCCTTATTGTTGGTTAACAGGATGCACTGTTGGTCTCACAGTCACCAAGGTACAATGGTCTTACTGTGCTACCGGCTCTGCTTGCTACAACTCTGTAGTTAAGATTTAGAAAAGCCCTAATGCGTATGAACTAAATGGAGAGACCATGAGATGACAGCTCCAGAACATCCTAGCCGTTAAGTAAAAGCCAAAAGGCATTCACCTTTTAAGAAATATGAAGCAACACTGCCTGCCTGGCAATAAATATTACTGTTGATCATGATGTATCAATCACAGGATCAAACCTGCTCTGCCATTAAATATGATGGTCAGCGGTCAAAGGTTTTTTTGGGACTGGAGGTCTGTGACCAGTGGTATGGTGGGTGTCGTCAGTGCTGGGTCCATTGTTTTTCGCCATTTATGTAAATGATTTGGATGTGAATATAGGAGGTATGGTTAGTAAGTTTGCAGATGACATCAAAATTAGTGGTTTAGTGAACAGCGAAGGATGTTATCTCAAAGCACAATGGGACCTTGATCAGATGGGCCAATGAATGGCAGATGGAGTTTAATTTAGATAAACGTGAGGTGTTGCATTTTGGAAAGGCAAACCAGGGCAGGACAGTTAACGGTAGGGCCCTGGAGAATGTTGCCAAAGAGATCTAGGGATGCAGGTGCACATTCATTGAAAGTGGAGTCACAGGGAGACAGGGTGGTGAAGGTGGCATTTGACACGCTTGCCTTCATTCGTCAGCGCATTGAGTACTGGAGCTGGGACAGCACTTTTATAACACTACATTCAATTCTGGTCTCCCTGCTATAGAAAAGATGTTGTTAAAGTTGAAAGGGTGCAGAAAGCAGTTACAAGGATGTTGCCGGGATTAGAGGGTTTGACCTGTCGGGAAAGGCTGAATAGCGTGGAGCTGTTTTCCCTGGAGCATCAGAGACCGAGGTTTATAAAAATCATGAGGGGCATGGATAGTGATTAGCTAAGGTCTTCTTCCCAGGATAGGGGAGTCCAAAACTAGAGGTATAGATTTAAGGTGAGTGGGGCAAAGATTTAAAAAGGGATGCGAGGGGCAACTTTTTCACGCAGAGGGTGGTGCATGTATGGAACGAGCTGCTAAACGAGGTGGAGGAGGTGGGTACAATTACAACATTTGAAAGGCACCTGGATGGGTACATGAATAAGAAGGGTTTAGAGGATATGGGCCAAAATGGGACTAGATCAGTTTAGGATATCTGGTCAGCACAGACGAGTGGGACCAAATGGTCTGTTTCTGTGCTGTACATGTCTATGACTCTATGACGTAATTGAATGCTTCAATGCCTATTAGCCATGTTATCTTCAGAATATTTAATGCCATTCATATTGAAGAATCTATCTTTTTCTACCTTGAACCCACACAATAACTGTGTTTCCTTTGGTGTCTAGTAAACAGAATTCCAACAACTCACAACCCAAATGAAAAGAATTTCTCTGTATCTCTGTTCAAAGTGATCATCTTGCCCACAATCTACTCTGTCTGTGCCTTTAAGTACTTGTTATCTTAAGATCTTAAGAGATCACCTCTCATTTTTCAAACTTTTGGATAATAGTTTCATTGCTTCTCTAATCTCTATTCACAAGACAATACTGCCCGCCTGGGACAAAAGTACACGATCTCAATGGATTTTGCACTTCAGATTTTGTCCCTTTCTCTTCCTCTCTCCGTCATCACTAAAACCACGTCTCAGAAACTAACATTTGACTCCTGTACCCTTGCAATTACTGTCACATCCCCATTCCCTTCTAAGTGTTGTCAATTCCCAGATGTTTGCATTCTCTTAAGCAATCATTTTAAAGGTGAAGATATATTATACACTGTTATGGATAGAACTGTGACATGACTGGTTTTATGTAAACACTTTTTAAAAAATTTATGATAGCCAAAACATTGTTTGCCCTTTTTTTAAAAGTGAGTTTATTTACTGCACACACTCAGGATCTGTAACATTTGGCACCCTTCCATACCTGTCCAATGCTGTTATTTTCTCCCAGAATGTATATCCACCTTAAGCCAAAAAACCTCTTATCAAAGACAACAATCACTCGAATATTAAAATCTTCCAGTGCTCTAGATTAGAAAGGTAGTTATGGCTCACTGAGATAGAAAGGGAACAAATAATAATCTCTTATTCTCACAGTTGTATTTACTGACTGTGAAAGATTAAACTTTAATAATCTACCTCAAGCCTTTCACTCCTCATTTATTGATATGTTAGACGTTTTAATTTCATTTTTCTTTCAAACCTCAATGTGATTACACAAAAACTATTTGGATAACTATTAGGGCAGCACGGTGGCACAGTGGCACAGTGGTTAGCACTGCTGCCTCACAGCGCCAGGGACCCGGGTTCGAGTCCAGCCTCGGGCGACTGTCTGTGTGGAGTTTGCACATTCTCCCCGTGTCTGCGTGGGTTTCCTCCAGGTGCTCTGGTTTCCTCCCACAGTCCAAAGATGTGCAAGTTAGGTGGATTGGCCATGCTAAATTGCCCAAAGTGTTCAGGGAGGTGTAGATTAGGTGGGTTATAGGGGGATGGGTCTGGGTGGGATGCTCCGAGGTTCGGTGTGGACTTGTTGGGCCGAAGGGCCTGTTTCCACACTGTAGGGATTCTATTCTATAAAAGCTCTGGTTACTTTTAAATTGTGCCTCCTGACTCTGGACTCCCCAACCAGGTGAAACAACTAGCAGGAACTGTCATTTTTGGCAGCCTTTGAGCCACAGGAACAATTTCAAGCTCTAAGGTGAAGATACCTACCACCACCTGGAAGGCTAGTATACATCACGGCTGATAACATTCTTAGAAGACATGGCTTTGGAGATTGGTGGTGCAAGTATTCAGTACCATCATCATGGGAACTGGGTTGCCTTCACGAATCATGCAGAATTTTTTTGGGGCAAGCAATGCAAATTAGTAGCGAAAATCATCATGGAAGAAGTGGCCTACGCAATTTATGAGCCTTTGTCTTCAGAATAAACAGCAAAACAAACAAGCTTCTAATCCGTAAAGAAAAAAATGAAATTTTACTTCTAGTTTCACAAATGCTACTGGTAAAAAGATTAATTAAATTAAAATTAAAATTAAATTAAAATAAAATTAAATAAAAAGATTTTTCTAAATCTCAGAATTGTAAAACCAGTATTACCTGAAATCTTCTATTATATTCACAGAACTTTTGTGTCAGGAAAGCATAGAAAGGATTAAATGTTTTTTCTTGAAGGCAACAGTGAACAATAACATGAATAATCTCTCTTTCCTGTTGATCTTTCAGCCTCAGTCTGCAATAAGAAAAAGTGAATGT